CCGGGACACGCATGGACCATCTCTACCAATAATAATTCATCTCTCCTATCCCAGCACCGGGACATGCATGGACCATCTCTACCAATAATAATTCATCTCTAATATCCCAGCGCCAGGACACGCATGGACCACCTCTACCAATAATTCATCTCTCCTGTCCCAGTGCCGGGACACGCATGGACCATCTCTACCAATAATTCGTCTCTCCTGTCCCAGCGCCGGGACACGCATGGACCATCTCTATCAGTAATTCACCTCTCCTATTCCAGCTGCTCTGTGGCACACATGGACCATCTCATCAGTAATTCCTCTCTCCTATTCCGCTGCTCTGTGGCACGCATGGACCATCTCATCAGTAATTCCTCTCTCCTATTCCGCTGCTCTGTGGAACGCATGGACCATCTCTACCAATAATTCGTCTCTCCTGTCCCAGCGCCGGGACACGGATGGACCATCTCTACCAATAATTCATCTCTCCTATCCCAGCACCGGGACACGCATGGACCACCTCTACCAATAATTCATCTCTCCTGTCCCAGTGCCGGGACACGCATGGACCACCTCTACCAATAATTCGCTTCTCCTGTCCCAGTGCCAGGACACGCATGGACCACCTCTATCAGTAATTCATCTCTCCTATTCCGGCTGCTCTGTGGCACGCATGGACCATCTCTATCAGTAATTCATCTCTCCTATTCCGCTGCTCTGTGGCACACATGGACCATCTCATCAGTAATTCATCTCTCCTATTCCGGCTGCTCTGTGGCACACATGGACCATCTCATCAGTAATTCCTCTCTCCTATTCCGCTGCTCTGTGGCACGCAGACCTGCTCCTGCTCTTACACTGCTGTCTCCCACTTCCCTTGGTTTTATTGTGGCCACTCATCTCTCTGCAGTCCTACTTTTGTTAGTGATCAACTCAGGGCTGCCATGAAAAAGTATTTCACTATTACCTCACACATAGAGCAGTTATGTTCAAAACACTTGCATAAGATAAATTCTGTAAATAAATTTTCGAGGAATGTTTGTAGCTAAATGTTCTTCTTTCCCTGTGCACGAATGGCATTCTGTGGACTGCGAGGTCTGTAAATCCGCACAGCACAGCGTGGCTACACATTCTTATTTCCAAGTGCACGGCTGACATTCTGCGGACTGCGAGGTCTGTAAATCCGCACAGCACAGCGTGGCTACACGTTCTTATTTCCAAGTGCATGGCTGACAGTCTGTAGACTGCGAGGTCTGTAAATCCGCACAGCACAGCGTGGCTACACGTTCTTATTTCCAAGTGCACGGCTGACAGTCTGCGGACTGCGAGGTCTGTAAATCCACACAGCACAGCGTGGCTACATGTTCTTTCCACGTGCGTGGCTGACATTCTGTGGACTGCGAGGTCTGTAAATCCACACAGCACAGCGTGGCTACATGTTCTTTCCACGTGCACGGCTGACATTCTGTGGACTGCGAGGTCTGTAAATCCGTACAGCACAGCGTGGCTACATGTTCTTATTTCCAAGTGCACGGCTGACATTCTATGGACTGTGAGGTCTGTAAATCCACACAGCACAGCATGGCTACACGTTCTTATTTCCACGTGCGCGGCGTTCTATGGACAGCGAGGTCTGTGAATCTGACCGCACAGCACAGCATGCCAGTAGCAGCGGCAGGACGGCTGCAGCTGACAGCTCTCACGGCAGCCCAACTCTCCCAGCTGTGCCTCGCCAGCCTTCGCTGGCACCACCAAGGGCTACCACGTAAGTCATTCTACTGACAGGCATGTCCATGGGACCAATTCCTGGCAATAATTCAAGTAGAATTCAACAACAATCCTCCACTGAAATGAAGTACCTAACATTTTATGTGTAGGATTAGACAGGTGTTTTAAGAATTAGCAAATGCATACACAGCAGGAATTTAACCTCTTGATTAAGAATCTAAATGCCTTCATGGGCAAACAGATCCCACACTAGGTCCATTCTAGCTCAACTTCTTTCTCTAACTCAGCTGGCAGCTTAGTCATTGAATGATGGGAACCCACACGCTGTCAAGTACAAAACAAAGCATGAGCATACCGAGACCAAAACTACTGACCAAAGACAAGAATGAAGACAGTCTACCGTCCACACGCTCAACAGTCAGGAGGTACCTTCCTTCCTGCTCCAATGAGACACAGTCTACCGTCCACACGCTCAGCAGTCAGGAGGTACCTTCCTTCCTGCTCCAATGAGACACAGTCTACCGTCCACATGCTCAACAGTCAGGAGGTACCTTCCTTCCTGCTCCAATGAGACACAGTCTACCGTCCACACGCTCAACAGTCAGGAGGTACCTTCCTTCCTGCTCCAATGAGACACAGTCTACCGTCCACACTCCCAACAGTCAGGAGGTACCTTCCTTCCTGCTCCAATGGCATGTGTGTCATGACAAACGGAATTACCTAAGTAAAAACCTACAATAAAATGATATGGTATCTTGGCAGTACAATAAACTGACTCCAAATTTGATATAAAACAGTGTATCAATTCATACAAGCCATTTGGAATTCTTAAGAAATAACCGTTTTGAAATCCGTGGTTCTCTAAGACGTATCTACAAGATAAGAACAATCTGTGTCCTGCAGCTCCTGTCTCTTATCGGGGCCTAAAAAGACTAAACAGAAAGACAAGCGCATCCCCTTTTAGCACTTCCATATTCATCATGCTTTCGGTCACATCAACTTGCTGACTCACCCCTGCCCAGTGGCTCTGGGGTAGAGGGGGCACAGGCAGGGAAGCTGCTGGCCCAATTCTCCGCACGTTCAAACCTTATGGAAATGTTGACCAGATGACAGCCCTGTGGGCTGACAGTGAATCTGATGGAAGAGACATGAATGGATTGGCTGTTTTTCCAAATCACACATACAGCAATCATTTAAAGACGACTTCCCCTGTCTGTGTGTAATTTTCACGAAGCCGCCATGTCAAATAATGCAGCTGAAGCTGATATATTCCTAACACCGACCCCGCTGGGATATACATTCCCAAGGACAGAGTCAGTGAAAGAGACTGATTATAAACAACGTTTCCTCCTAATGAATGTGAAAATAGAATGGCTCTAGATGATGGCCTCATCTTCAAAATAAAGTAAAAATTAAGATTTGAAAAAGTTCTCCAGTTTACCCTAATCCTACAACCTGTGTTATACATCAAAATTATGTTTGATGAGAACATGCAGTGGTAAATATGGCTAAAAAACTCAGCTCAAAGACTTTGCTAAATAAAACTGTCTTACACAAAACATCAAAAGAACTTAAACTCAGATACAAAGAATATTTGTATGCTTCCTTATATATACAGATTAATACTAAGTAGGCTCGAAATCTGATATCTTTTCCTAAGTTGATTTTAAATTTTTTTGTTTTTATGACCCTGTACTCCCCAGAATTATCAAGTTTTTTGTGCCTTAGCTGACACAATTTAAACCAAACAAACACCAGGCCTTGAGGCGGTGGCCAGATCTACGTGGGGATTTACACAAAATCCACATTGAAAAATAATTAGAACAATTAGTCTGTTGTAACTGCAATGTGATTTGCAAATTCAATGAAGATGAAATCAGCAGAATCCCTCTTTTCCTCAAATTTCACGTGTGAAAAACTCCATTGCCCTGACCTTGCAATTCATACATACACAAAAACCTGCACATAACTTTAGTTCACAGCGGCATTAATGACAACAGCCAAAAAGTGGAAACAACCCAAATGTCCATCTACTGACGATGGAGAAACAGAACGTGGGCCGTCCATACCTTCCATATCATGACCCAAACGTCCATCTACCGATGATGGAGAAACAGAATGTGGGCCGTCCATACCTTCCATATCATGACCCAAACATCCATCTACTGACGATGGAGAAACAGAACGTGGGCCGTCCATACCTTCCATATCATGACCCAAACATCCATCTACTGACGATGGAGAAACAGAACGTGAGCCGTCCATACCTTCCATATCATGACCCAAACGTCAATCTAGAGATGATGGAGAAACAGAACGTGGGCCGTCCGTACCTTCCATATCATGACCCAAACGTCCATCTACCGATGATGGAGAAACAGAACGTGGGCCGTCCGCACCTTCCATATCATGACCCAAACATCCACCTACTGACGATGGGGAAACAGAACTTGGGCCGTCTGTACCTCGGCGTATCACGTAGCCATTAAGAGGAACAACGCTCTGAGGCAAGCTACAATGTGGACGTTACAGGATTCCATTTATAGTCAAGGTCCACAACGGGGCCGCCCACAGGGACAGACGGAGACAAGCGGGGGCCAGAGGCTAGAGGCTGGGAGAATGGAAAGTGACTGTTGATGGATACGGCACTTATTTTGGGGCTAATAAAATATATTCTAGAATTAGAACTGATGACTCCAAAACCTTGTGAATATACTAAAAATCACTGAGATGTATGCTTTAAAACGGTCAATTTTAGGGTATAAATTAGATCTCAACTAGGAAAAAAAAAGATCAACCTAAGCTCTCTCTCTTCCCACCATTCTGCCATCTGAATCCTAGCACTCTATATTAGAGGTAAAAGCAATTTTTGTGAAAAACATTATTTTCAATGTTTCAGATACGGTAATGAGTCTTCCTAACAGGAAAACCTTTGTTCAGTAAACAAATCGACATTGAGTTGCTAGAAAAAATCAACAACACACACAAAGAAGCAGAAAAAACTTGAGTTCTTCCTAGGAAGTAAACAAAACCCACGCTTCACCACTGACCGCACAAAGCTGAGTGTGTCTGGGTTCTTTCTTTTCTCCACGCTGCAGTAACTGACAGTCACTGGTCACAAATGGAGACAGGATGAAGGGCACACACAGGCTCTGCGGGGAAGAGGCCTCTGAAAGGCACACTGGGCGGGCGGAGCCGGGAGGGAGGACACGTCAGAGCCTGCAGGAAGAGAAGCCCCCGCTGGGAATCCAGGTGGGACGAACAGGTTCACATCCTTCCAGATCTTGGTGGAAGGAGGCAGTGCCTCCTATGCCACAGGCCCCGTGGAAGCTGAGTCCTCTAGCCCAGAGAGCCGCCTCTGAGAGCCCGCGGCCAGACACTGATCTGAGACACGTGGAAGACAGCAGGCCAACGCCAGTGTCAGTAACAAAAGCATCCAGAGCTGATGAAATAAGCGAAGCTGCCTACAAGCGACCCTGTCCATATGCATCAATGGGGAAAGATTTCTGCCACGTACGGGAAGAAGGGAGCTGTAAAATCACACAACGTGCACAGAACAATCCCAAAAGGGTTAGAGATCTCAAGCTGGTGGAATTATTTTCCTTTTCTTTGTTTTTATGCCGTCTCACTCTATTGCCCAGGCTGGAGTACAGTGGTGCGATCTCAGCTCACTGCAACCTCTGCCCCCCTGGGTTTAAGTGATTCTCCTGCCTCAGCCTCTCAAGGTTACAGGCACCCACCACCACGCCCAGCTAATTTTTGTAGTTTTAGTACAGACGGGGTTTCACCATCTTGGTCAGGCTGATATTGAGCTCCCGACCTCATGATCCACCCGCCTCAGCCTCCCAAAGTGCTAGGATTACAGGCGTGAGCCACCAAGCCCGGCCTATACTGTATCATTTTTTTAAAAAACAACAAACATGTATTAATTTCTAAAAAAGCAAAACAACAAAAACATTCCTACTGCTGCTCTGGCCACGGACAGAAGACGCGTGGGACACACCTTCCGAGTTGAGGGTGATGAGGGTGACGTTGCTCCCGATGCTCTGGCTGCCGGCCTGTCCGCAGCTGGACACAGAGTCGCTGGCCTCCGAGCCACTCTCCCCGTCTTCGTGGTGGCTGTCTTCTTGGCCCGGCACCTTCACCACAATGGTGTTCTGCCGACGCCCAGGCACAGCACTGAACGGGAAAAAACACACCAGCCCAATGCGGTGAGAGCCACAACCAGCACGCCAAGTTCCGCGCTTTCCTTAACTTATCACAAAATCTAACTCTGCATGGACCAGTGGATCACACGGCCTTCCCAGACAGCGCTCTCTACCAAAATTAACAGCAACTCCATAGGAGAAAATGGCCTGGGGCTGAAAGAAACTGTACAAAGTAAAACATAATCATTTAAAGAAAACATGTATATCACGAAAGAAGTAAAATCGTGACTCACTGAGACTCAGGTCCAGCATGCTGCCCTCTGATTTCAGAGGTCATCCTATAGAATGCTGGCACTTGAAGGAGAGTCTTTTTTAAGGCCATGTTAAAGGAAAGACTAAATTCGGAAGACCGTGCTCAGAGACCTGGGTCAGCTGGACCCACGCTGCGAGGCTCCCTGGAAATGACTCCGCCTCTGTAACGCAAGCATCACTCCCAAGTATTGCCATGGGCAAGAAACCCTGAAGGGGGCTTCAAAAACCGGCTGAGATCCCACGGGAGCTGCCGTCATCCCAAGAGCTGCTGATGTGGAATGACGGAACACTGCCAGCCAAGCTGGGCAAGGCCAGCTCCACAACGTGCTCAAAAAAAGGATGACGTAGAGACTTGCTACTTCCCTTTTCAACATCCTCTACCAGGGACTGCTACGCACCAGGAGAGGAAAAAGGAGCACAATTTTTCTGTTCCCAAAGTCAAAAAAAGGGTGCTGCAAACACTGTCTGTGCCCAGAGGAGGGCGCTGCACTTTGCACTCTCTGGACTGGATTCTCTGGAGCGCTGTCCACGCTGAACTTGATCCTCAACACTGGGGACCTGCCCGGCTGACCTCAGCGCCAAGCCCCGGAGGCACAGCTGACCCTGGCAGCTCCTCACCGCCCATTGCCACCTCCTCTCCGCCCATCGCCACCTCCTCTCCCTTCGCCCCCACGTATCAGGCCCTCGTGACCACAGCTGCAGCCCTGGAGAACTGAGCTAAGACAACAAGGAAAAGGGACGAAGCTAGAGGAGGAGCAATCCACAAAGGAGACTCAGAGAAAAAGCAAAATAGAACTTTGTGAAGACACAGATGGGAAACAAAAAGTGCCGGCACCCTTGGGGGTTCATGCAGCCCAGGAGGCCTTCCTGGAGAGCAGGGCCCAGATGCAGCCAGAGGCCACCGCCTGGCCCTCCCCTCGCACAGGGCGGGGACGGTGTCTTTCATCCACTCCCACCTCTGGCCAAAGCTCCACTCAAAACGTCTCAAGAGAAAAAAGGATAGGAAAAAAGTCATAAACTCAACATGCCTGCACCACTTAGCAAGCGTGGGAGAGGGCGTCTGTTTGCCTGACACACTTCTGCACAGACAGACAGACATGAGTACCACTGAGCTAGGTGGGAGGATGAGCGCCTTCACCGACTGCTGTGAGGAGACAGAGCCAGCCCCTTCACAAGCCGGCCAGCACGGGACACAGACATCCCCGGCGGCAGCTGCCCCAGTGTGGCTGGATTGTCAGCACTCAGCTTCACCCAGCCTGCCCCCCAACCTCAGAGAGCTGGGGCAGTGCCTGCCAGGCTCAACCCTGTGACCACAGAGACGAAGCATGTGCCGGACTGTGCCCGGCTTGGGGACGTTGACTTGTTCTCACGGGACTCCTCACAGTGACAGGGAAAGGTAGGGTTGGTGCCGTGCTACTGACTTGCTAATGGCATTTTCCAGGGAATCCGGTGCCCTGTTGCTCAAGGGGTCTTCCATCTTGGCTACAATGGCGTTCTGCCGATCATTGTTGAGTATTACTGTAGTCTGGGGGACGACGCTAGGGAACAAAAGAATCACAAAGAAAAAGAAGGCCTTAAAACAACAGCATTCACGTAAGAGCACGCAAGAGTCATTCAACAGTCCGCTCCCAGGTGCTCGCGCTGCGGGGAGGAGCCCCAAACGCTAAGGGAGAGTCAACTGGAGATGCAGTTTTTAACAGAGTTTGACTTTCCCAATTGTTGGCGTTTTGTCTGCACAGCTGGATGGCGCAGGACAGCTGCGCTGACACTGAATGTGTGGTTCGGATCAGACTGAGACAGCACGGGCTGTTATCATGCCCGGTTAATAAGGCTTCTGAGGTGGCACACTTGCATGGAAACCGGCTTGACGTTTTTAGTCACTCCATCCCAGCTCCGTTCCTGCGCGACAGATCTAACTTTCGTAACCATGTAAGTGTTGGTATCATTCCAAGCTGGTGGCACCCTGGGAAGAAAGGGCCAAACATCACACTGGACTTGGGATGGAAGGACACATACACGCTACCTCTAGTTCTACAGGAACAGGTATGAGTTACAACCAAAGGGCTCAGGGTTCTGCTTCCAAAGAAAAGATTCTACAAAAGAACAGGCTATGACCCAGAAACCACCAAACCTGGCGCCGCGCTGGAGGAAGCGCTAGTGTGTTTAGACAGGCGTCAGTCACACAGCTTCACCTCAAAGGACAGACTCGCTTATGGTTTCCCATCATGAGTTTTCGAGGCTTAGAACTTTCAGTCAAGGGATTTCTACGGTACGCTCTGTGTGGAAGGGTGGCGCGGGGAAAGAACTAGCATTAGGAATACAGAGTGGTTACCACCAAAGAATAAAACACCATTCCTGGATTTCACTCTCCGAAAACCAACCTGGAAAGGCTGCCTTTCTGTGATTTGCAGCCAGGAAAACCCAGCCTGCCATCACGACTGTAAGTGTTCCCACAGCGGGTGGGGACAAGAACAGCACCATGCCACACCCACGGAAATCACAGGACCCGCAGGTATTCCTAAATAAAGGCATCATCAACTGCATTTCACTCAAATGCATGACTTTTTAAGCTCCTCTACTTGTTACTGGTGACACCTAAGGCAACACAGCAAAGCCTGGTACATGTCCTACATTAAGAGGCTTTGTTCAAGTACATGCAAAACAAGCCACCAAGGTAAGACACGAAATGAAAAACCTTCCGGAAAAATGCAGGATTTAAACTATTTTCACAAGTTTGTGTTTGCCATGTTTTATTACAAAAGGAAACGAAAACTAAGTTACTCTGAAGCAGAGCCTTGAAAAACTACACAATGGTCCGGTGCAGACGACCACACAGGGTGGAGGGAGGGAGAGGAGGGCAACACTCAGGACCAGAACGCAGTGGCACCAGGATGAGGGCCCGGCCAGCACTTCAGAGCAGCAGAACATCTGAGTCACACCACCAGTGAGCAGAACCCGACAGCCCTCGCAGCAGAGGTCACATCTGCCACCTCCAACAAACTGACCCAGGCAGCTGAGACACCGGGGTGGGAAGTCTCGGTCTGCGGCTGTGGTTAGGTTCCATGAAAGCTGTCAAACGTGGAAAAGATGGTGCAGGAGAGCCACAGGAGCTGCAGTGGTGACTCCAGATACCGCTGTGGGTGCTTTCTGGACACACACCTCTGCCTGGGCACACACAATCACAGGATGAAGAACAGATGTGACTCCATTCTCTGCCTAACCCTCTACTCACAGAGAGGCGCCAAGAGACAATCTGAGGAGAGGCAAGCACTAACCCTCCAAAGACGAATTTAAGTAACTTTCAAATGAGGGCCGGGCACGGTGGCTCACGCCTCTAATCCCAGCAGTTTGTGAGGCTGAGGTGGGCAGATCCCGAGGTCATGAGATCAAGACCATCCTGGCAAACACGGTGAAAACCCGTCTCTACTAAAAATACAAAAATTAGATGCACGCAGGGGTGAACACCTGTAGTTCCAGCTACTTGGGAGGCTCAGGCAGGAGAATCCCCTGAATCCAGGAGGCCGAGACCACGCCACTGCACTGATAATAATAACTTTCAAATGTCCCAGACCAAACCCACTAAACGTGCACCTAACAAATCTGCACTGAATGCTCAGCAAGTGAGAAGGCCACCCTGGGCACTGCAGGACCCCCAGCCTCCAGGGACTCCCGTTCCAGGTCGCCGCATGAACCAGGCCAGGCGTGCTGCTTTCCCTGGACGCCCCTCTTAGCCCAAGATCTTCACACAGCGCTGGGTTACCTGTGTGGTCAAGTCACCGACCAGTCCCATTCCCACTGCAGTACCTGGCTGTTTCCTATGGCAGGGAGAGGATGAACGCCATCAGAGTATCTGACGTACGTTTGAACCAAACAAGCTTTCGTCTCCTTCCACCCAAAGTGCAGCCTCACCACGTGACACTCTGCACCCCGGGTAGGCATCCCTTTTATAACTGAAAATAATTATCAAGTCCAGTTTAGAAAATCTGACACTCATTTTCTAATTTTTATGAATTATCTCAAGGAAAAATATTTCAACAACAGCAAGCTCAAAAGTACTTCAAGTAATTTTTTCTGCTTTCTACTCTTTAGGAAAAAATGGACAGATTTTGTTTAAAACTCCAGTACCTGTTCCCTAAGTATGTTTTCTCCCATGGACATTCATATTCCCACATGACACACAAGGACCCGGGCCTTGTAAGTAAGAAACAGGGTTAGTGTAATGTACTTACAAAAAGAGAAGCTGCTGGGCGGTCAGAGCTCCAACAGGAGGAAAACAGAAGGGCAGGCAGGTGCAAAGAGCAGGCACCCAGGAGCCCCCAGGCCAGAGCAGCCCACAGCCCACTCCCCTGCCGATGGGGCTCTCCCAGGAGCCTCTGTGCATCCAGCCTGCATGTCCCAAGCCCTTCTGTGCACACATGGCCCTGTGGCCAGAGTCCATCAATGGACTTCCAACAGGAGAGAGGTGTGTCACTTCCCGGGCACAGGTTTTAAAAACAGAACGCACCTTTCAGTCTCTCCCCTTCGCCGACTGAGGACCCCAAGGCAACACGGGTAAGCACACAGTAAAAGGCTCAGGCATCAGAGGCACCCACAGGCAGCTGGGGAAAGACCAGAACAGCGCACACTGCACCCTGAACACAGCAAGATTCAACCTCCCACCACGCTAATCACAAGTCCACAGAACCCGCTATTGTGATGATTCATGTCACTGAGTCAATACAATCAGCATGCAGACTAATCAAACATTTACTGAAAGTGTATTTCTATTGCTTACAGGTTAAAAGGGTATTTGATTTTATTGTTATAGGCGGGGTCTCACTATGTTGCCCAGGCTGGTCTCAAATTCTTGGTCTCAAGTGATCCTCCCACCTCAGTCTCCCAAGTTGCTGGGATTACAGGCCTAAGCCACTGCACCACACTAAAGATTAAAAAGTCATAAAAACAAGATCTAACAAAAAAACACTCAGGGATAAAAATAAATCAGTATTAAAATTTTCTTCCTAATATCTAATGAAATGAGCAAAATAGAATATAAAACCAGCCCCATAAATAACCACTGCTCCAGTGAAATGGGACTAACCTAAAGCAGCAAACTTTAAAAACTCGTTGCTAAAGAAAGAAGCTTCTAGCCTCTGGCAATCGGCTTGGAGAGGCTCCAGATCTAACTCCTCACGCTGCTCTCCCCAGGGAGCCATGCTTGTGCACGGACCGAGATCTGGGACCTCCCCCAACAATCTCAAATCAGAAGGGCGAGGAGGTCCAGAACATCTGTGTTTCTCCCTCTTTCCTAGAAGCTACAGAAACGACTACTAGGGAGAGAGGGAGGCAGCATGAGGAATGACTCCGTGGAAGTCAGCACCTGCAACAGCACAGGAAGACAGGGGCTCCCAGGCAACGTGTTCAGGTGAAAAGGTGCCCCGGGCCCTTCGCAGGCTCACAGGACACCGCGTACTGCCACGCATGGCATTCTGGTCTCTAAGGCCAGGGACCTCCGCACACCGCCTCCTGGTCTCTAACTCCAGGGCTCTTCGCACGATCGGAGGACACTGCACACCACCGCGCACCGCCTCCTGGTCGCTAACGCCGGGGCTCTTCACACGCTCGGAGGACGCTGCACACCACCGCGCACCGCCTCCTGGTCTCTAACGCCAGGGCTCTTCGCACGCTCGGGGGACACCGTGCACCGCCTCCTGGTGTCTAACGCCAGGGCTCTTTGCACGCTTGAAGGACACCTCGTACCACCAAGCACGGCCTCTTGGTCTGTAACTCCAGGGCTCTTCCCAAGCTCAGAGGACACCGCGCACCACTGCATACTGCCTCCTGGTCTCTAATGCCAGGGCTCTTCCCACGCTCGGAGGATACCGCGCACCACAGCACACCACCTTCTGGTCTCTAACGCCAGGGCTCTTTCCACGCTCGGAGGACACCGAGCACCACATCTTGGTCTCGGGGCACCACATCCTAGTCTCTGCCCATGGCATCCTCATCTCTAACCTCATTTTTCAATTCAAGAAGAAACGGCTGATTCTAGGCTGGGAAAGGCATGCACAATGAAGCATTTGGTAGCACCATGCAAGTAAAAGTGCTCAGGTCGAGCCCAGTGGCTCACATCTGTAATCCCAGCACTTTGGGAGGCCAAGACGGGCAGATTACAAGGTCAGGAGTTCGAGACCAGCCTGACCAACATGGGGAAACCCTGTCTCTAATAAAAATACAAAATTAGCCAGGTGTGGTGGCATGGCCTGTAATCCCAGCTACGTGGGAGGCTCAGACAGAAGAGCTTGAATCCAGGAGGTGGAGGTTGAAGTGAGAGGAGATCCCACCACTGCACTCCAGCCTGGGCAACAGAGCAAAACTCCATCTCAAAAGAAAAAAACAAAACAAAGCACTAACAAGAAAACACCTACAATGAAGAGGGAATGGAGGGAATGTCAAGGGGCACAGGAGCCAACTAACAAGCTGCTGATGGCCAAAGCTGGAAGGATGTGAGCCCCAGAATGAAGCAGTGCTGGATTCTAACCCAAAGTGTAAAATAAAT